GGGGAAAGCCCTGCGAGTCTCCTGCACTGGCCTGGGACTGAGGAGACGGGGGCTTCAGTGTGTGGAAGAGGGGGGAGAAGGAAGACTCAGAATCCCGCAGCTCTTGCTAACACAACTCCACAGGCATGAGGCTGGAGATGAGACCCAGTAACTCTGTCCCAGCGTGGGGAGGTGATCGCAGCTCCACGACAGAGCCTGCAGGGACATCGCTCCTTTGGAAACAAGCTCAAGCGGTGCTGGGGCTGTCTCAGCTCCACATGCTAAGGGCAGGGGAGGGGAAACGCAAGGTCGGTCTGCTCTTGGGCATGTGAAACGATTCCAGGGGCACCAGGAGAACAAGAACTGCTGATCTGTGGAGTACTGACCCAACCACCATGTTGTGGAAGGGAGATTTCTGCACCGAGGGACGGTGCTCACGCTGCTGGAGAGTGGAGACCCACCGCCCCTTCCCTGCCCCTGGGATCGAGCCTCGTCTGGGCCACCAGCCTGAGCAGCATTTGTCTGCTGACAACTCCAAGGTCTGCTCCAGTTCAGGGGAGTCTGCAGCAGCAGCACACAGGCCTGGGTTAGCTGTACCTTCATCAGTCAGGGGCTGCTGGGGAATCTAATTTCCCCATCACCTGCATCAGCCCCTTCTCAAGCACAATAGGCTCACGGGGACATGAAGAAAGGTGGACTGCTGGGATATGAAGTTATTTTGGCAGCATGACAAGCCCCAAGCAAGGTAAAGCCTCTCTGTGCAGGGGCTGCACCCGTGCAGGGAGGAAGATCAGGGTCTCGGCCCGGAAGCTGCCCACCCTGTTAGCTGTCAGCTCTGTGTTCCTGAGGGAGCCCTGGCACCCAGCTTGCTGGATTTACAAAGGTCTCCCCTCTCCCCTTCCACCTCATCTAACCAAAACTAAACAGAAGGAAAGTTTAATAGGCATCTCGGGCCATACATTCTCTTGTCCCACTATGGGAGGCCTATTTAAACTTGATTGACTAAAACTCGGTTGCTGGGTTGGGGAATGCGGAGGCAAGAGACTCAGTCAGAGGGGGTACGGGCGACACTTGAACAATGGTTCAGGGTTCATCGCAGCGTCCAGCCCAGTGGAGCCCTGACCACAAATGTTGTCAGACTTTTCCCGGCATGACTGGTGGAAGTCCTCCCCACAATGTTTATGAACACTTCAAGTAATCATCAATCCTTTTAAGTCTGTTCAAAGACGACAGTAAGATCTGAAAGTCATGCTGAGCTGAGGCTTGTTCACAAGAGGTAAAATTCACAACACTGATGCTGACTTCTCAGATGGCCTAGCTCTGCTTGCACTGTGAAGCCCATCCAATATATCTTCTATATGCATAATAATTTCAAGCTGGCTCCTAGGTGTCCAGTTACTCCTTAAAACTTGATGACATTCCTGGTTGTGAATCAGTTTCTTGAGATGTTCCAAACCAGATAACCCCCTGTCACTGAAAAAGGCAATTCATTTAAATGGAAACTGTTTCTATAACAGGATTTCCCTGTCAATTATGGCTTGAAATCAATCCCTTGATTTACATGATTAAAAGAATGCTTTGAAGAGGCTGAACTAAGGATATAAGAAAGCTGTAAAGCAGAACACAGTGTGCTTCAGGAGAGAGAAATCTCTCTGACACCATCTTTCTGTTGCCCGTTTAACCTTCAACGATTGTGCTGGCAACTTTCCCTGTCAACAAAACACCCGAGTGCCTTGGAAGCGGAAGATCCCAGCTCTTGCTCTCTCTTTTGTTTTCTAGGGCTCTGCGAGGCTTCGGACAGACCTTTGGATCCAGAGAAGCTTCAGACGCTTTGGGGTCCAAAGCAGCACATCCGGGTCGAAGCGCTGGCCTCGTTAGGCTTCCCAGTGCTGCAGGGATGGTGGCCCTTGCTGCGGCCACGAAGCCTGCCGGCTGTCGAGGAGATCGGTGCAGGGGGGGGTCTGAGGCCCTGCATCCCTAGATGCTGACAGACAAAACTCGTGCCAGGGTGCT